AAGCACTATAGATTTTTGTTAGACTACAATTGTAATAAATATCTAGAATAATAGCATTTTTAGTTTAAATTATCAAGTTTTTCCTAAAATTTATATAAAGATGAAAATACTTTAGGTTCTGTCAAAATCGTGCAAGCTCTTGACGTGGGATATTCTCAGATTTTAAAAATTCAAGAAATTATATTTCGTTGACCCCCCCTCCCATTTAAAAATGTTTTTTGTTTTATTTTTCAGGTCAGTTATACCCCCTTAATATGTGACTGATCTTACACAAAAGATGTCAATTCAAACAAGCTGCTGGTATATTTAAAATAAAAAAAAATAAAACGCTTTAAATGTTGAATATGAACTAAAAAAATTGATTCATGTGTAAATCAAAATTATTTTAATGAATTATAATTTTTTGATTGTATCCCAGATCATTTAGAGCTCCTTATAAGCAGGCCAACCATCATTAATGATGGCAGAACTTTAGAGCACTGCTTCTCGATCCATTCGGAACAAATTCTAGTCATTAAATTCTTCCGAAGTTTTCAATTCCTCCAAAGAGCCATTGTTGATGAAGAACTGTCGTGATTTTTGCGCATGCTAATTATGCCCCCACCCCCCATTATAGACATTTTTTTTTCATTTTTAGCCAAATGTTAATTTATTTTAGTTTCTTTTTTATATTTAAACAATTTTTGATTATATTCCGAAACTGTCAATATTTCTTTGTACACATAAGCCTGAACTGAAAAGAAAAAGGACTTAATAAAAATAAGATTTTATTAAAAGAATATATGGGCATTTTATTTTACATTCTTGGTGCTCTGTATGTGATATTTTAAAAGTGGTGGCAAGTTCATAAAAAAATTGCCTCCTAAATGTGTTCTCTACTGTGAGGAAAAAATTATTTTTCGTTATATTTTAAGTAATATTTTTACAAAATGTAAATGATTAAATTAACTGTTTTTCTTCAAAAGAAATGTCTGAAAGATATTGAATTTAAGAATTTTCAATTTTTCTTTTGCCGGCACCTGTCAAATTAAGCTAGACAGAATTGTTTTTTCACTAATTTATAGAAGAAAAAAAAAGTAACTTTTTTAAAGCATCAACTTTAAACCATCTTTCAAATAAAAGTCAATTTAAATTATTTAAAATAAGTTCCGACAGTCCGAGGATGCACCTACTTTTATAAAAAAAAAAAAAAAAATTCTTGTGCTTAGTCTCGGGTCTACTGCAAGTTATTAATTTTTTTTTTTTTCTAAACAAGGTCAGAGCCTGTTATCAAATTCCACATAAGTGCGCTTTGTTGGAGATGGGGAGGGCATCGATTTTTGACCGTCTAAAGTATTTTTGTAAAGTTGAAAATATTTTAGTACATTACACAAACTCAGATGGAGTTACAATATTAAATTCTAATTAAAATTAGAAAAAAAAGTGTCAATATACATTCAAAAGTAATTAAATTAAAATAGTGCTTGTTCTATTACATTTATTTTATGAATCGGGGCAGAATTTCTGCGACAAGGGGGTCTTTTTTCAGCAAAATTATTAAAATCGGAGGACTTGCCCTTGTAAGAAATTATACGCTACAAAAAAAAAAAAAAAAAAAATGATTTTTTTAATTTTTTTTTTAAACTAAATTATCAGATGATTGAAAGAATTTTCCGGAAACCCAAAAGAAAAAAATTTTTCCATATAAACTCAGTGTCTCGCTTTGACGCAAAATCTCCCAGTCTCCATAATAAGAAATTTTTATAAAATCTTTCTTTTTCCACTTAATGATACGAAGATTTAATTTTTTTTTTTTTTATAGCATTTTTTTGATTATTTTTTATATTTTTTTTTTTTTAGCAAATTTTGTCAGCATAGACTATTTCGGATTTTTTTTAGCATCTTTGGCGTTTAATAATATTTTAACAGAAAATAAGACCAAGTATCAACAATCGACGAAATCGCCAAAATTATACTACAAAAAGAAAAAATTCAACAAACATACCTCGGTTTCAAAAAAAAAATGCCTAATTGGGGGTTGTCTAGAGTTAATTGGTAGCTGAAAGAAAGAAATGTGAAGGCAATCAAATATTTCATGACTTAGATTGAAAAAAAAAAAAAAAAAATGCTAACAAGCCTTTTCGCAATTAAATTCAGTAGTTGAAGCAACTTGTATCCAAATTTCATGTCTATAATTCAAGAAAAATTTGCTGTTAATTTTAAACATCGAGAACCCAATTTCAAATTCTAAATACTAAAGAAAAAAGAAAAATTTACTTCCATTTAGGATTAACTACCGAAATCAAAATGGTATGAAGCGACGTCGTAAATTAATTTACGACGTCGCTTCATACCATGGTGGAAAGGAAAATATTTCCAGTTTCTGTGATCTCTAGTAGCTAAGTTCATTGGAATAAATAAATATCCGGGAATTTTTGCTCCCTTCCCTCACGGAATTATATTGCATTTCGAACTATTCCAGTTTTGTTTGTTTCTGATTCAATACTTTTCAAATAAGAACGGAGAAGTTGTTTTGTTTTTTTTAATTCTAAATCTCACCGTTAGTGTTCATGGAAATAATGTGTACGCAGAATACGAAGCTAAAAGTGGCACTAATTCAGTATTTTCAATGCGGAAATTGTACCGGACGTTAAAATCGACAACTGAAAAAATATATAACCCATCTGAGCAAAAAAAGTCGATGACATTTTCCATCAAGTACCATATTCAAGCATCCATTAATTTTTTTAGAGCTACATATAAGATTCAAAACATTTCAGAATAATAACCAAGTTCTAAGATTTCTCGAATATTAAGTCTGGTTTGTCAATAATTGTAAAGGAAAAAATTTCATATATTGTAACGTAAAATTTCAAATAGACAGAGAAAAGAGAGAAACATTAAGTGATTGGTTAAGAAGGCTAAGTCAGCCATGTATGAAAGCAGGGCAACAAGCTAGCCTAGCATTACTTGTCAAAGCACAAGATTATTATATATAGGGTGGTCCAAAAGTCTTGTCACCCTAACCCTCACTTCTAAACTGAAAGAGCTCGTGCTAGACATCTGAAATAAAATAAAAAAAATTTTTAGGGGGGGGGGTACAAAGACTGACTGTGTATTGTGCTCAGACAAGTAATGCTAAATTTTACAATTAGATGGGAGTCAGTCATACGCTCCATCTATTCAAAGAAAACATTAATAGCAGCAAAACAACGCTCTCCATGGCAGAACGAGACGATGAAGATAAAAAAAAAAATACTAGTTAGGGAGACACAAACAAATCGTTCATGTTGAATAAAAGATCTGAAGAATATTGCAGCTGCAATTAGTTAGACATAACTAAAACTTAAAAAGCTCAAATTCTGGATTGTTGAAATAAATTTTAAATTTTGTACAAAGGTTAATATTCTAGTTATCAAATGCTATCGAGTTGAGACAGAAGACTTGTACGGCGGGATTAGTTTTGGCTTTTAAAAAAAAAAACTCCATTGCAAACTTAATATTTCCATTTTTTTTTTATTTAAATTTTTGTTTAAGCACTTCTACAGAAATGGTAAATTTAATAACCTATCAAGAAAATTAACCCAGAATTTTAGACATGGTAGGGAAGTATTTAATTCACTCCTCTTGTTTTATTCAACTAAAACAAGTATAAAATTTAAAAACAGATATATCAGCACTTTAACAGTAGTAAAAAAAATATGAAAGCTTTATGGTGTTTTTTTTTACGTATCAAAAAATGACTTTCAAAACCGAAATTTTGTCGAGGATATTTACAATGCGGAAATAGAACGAACGAGAAGGGAAAAAAAGAAAATGCCTCCATCACGAGTTATTCTATTCTCTCCATTAGCAAATATCGTTGTTGTTGCAGTAGTAGTAGTAAATCGTTGAGCTTATGTCGAGGAAACAATAGAGATAGTCCAGTTATATAGGTCGCGATCCTAACAGAAAAAAGAAATCATACTCTCACATTGAGAGATATATTTTAGCGTTAAGAGCGAAGATTTAACGTCCAGTTTTCTGTTTTTGGAACACAAAAAAAGAGAAAAAACGATATTTTCAAATGATGTTTGTTGAAATGGAAGATTAGAAATTAAGGACATGAAGGGAGGGGAGATTGTTTAAAACTGAGCAACAACCGCTCCTATCATAGAACGGATTTATTAGTCATCACTTGACTCAGGATTCCTGTTTTCAGCAGGCAAGTTGAACGTATAAAAAAATTATCTCCATCTTGTATTAAGAGGGGAAACATTCAATAACTAATGTTTTTTGTCACTCAGATTGAAAAAGAATTTGAGAGGGAAAATAAACATTTTGCAACGAAGCAGTTTTATCTTTAATTAAACGCTCTATTTTTGCATCATTGTTTCAGAAATTCACCACGTTTTTAATATTAAAATGATTCTCTTGACATTCTCACTGATCAATCTATGGGAAAAAGATTATTTTATTGAAAATAAACGGTTTTTCTTACCCATCACTTAGATTTATTGATGATTATAATATGAGGCAACTTTTTAAATGACGCTCTATATATGAATAAAAAGAGACAAGCGGAAACTATTCTTAGCCGACGAGTTTCGTCCTCTGAGGGACTTAAAATATATAATTTTTCGTACTTATTGGTGGAAAAAACGCACATCAATAAATTCACTAAGTGATATGTAAAAAAAAAAAAAAAGTTTATTTTCAACAAATTAACCTTTCCCCCCCCCATGGATTGTTAAGCAAGAATGTCAAAATTAATTATAACAAGCTACCACATTCACAGAAAATAAATTAGACAAAGGGAAAAAAAAATTAAATGATTGCCTAGTGATCGGATATATTTTATATAATTTACGACGATATTTAAATTCGAATATTTTCATACGTTATTGAACATGATCAGCAAAGAAAAAAAAATGAGTAATAGTAATATTTTCTGGGTATCACAAAAAAAAAAAAAAAAACATGACGCCAAATAAAATAAATTCGATCATGAATTTGAGATTTAAAAAAAAAAATTTTCTTACCAAACGAATAAAGCCAAATCCTTTACCGGCGTTCACATAAACTTCGGATATTTCTCCAAAAGGCTGAAAAAGTTTTCGGAAATCTTCTTCAGTTATATCTGGAGTAAGATTGCCAACAAATAATCGACATCTGCCAGTGAATTTTTTCTCATCTCTCGTGGAAAGAGCAGCTGCACTTGCCGCCGACATGCCGGGCACATCGCCTCGACTATTGGCATCGCCGGAGCTACTTCCACCGCCATGTTGGTTATTTGGAGGACCTCCGTGTTGAGATTTACCCGGGTGTGAACGATCGTTCATCTTTTTATCATTATTTGAACTCTGTGTATTTCCTCCACCTCGGGTATTTGGAGAAAGTATCTCCTGTTTCAGGTCTTTAACATTAATTTTAGCCGGGCTATTATCACTCTGTTTCCCTTTGAAGCCACCAGCCATGATGACGCCGTTTTGAAGTTTACTTATATTTGCTCTTTTTTCTGTTTAAGAAAATAAACTACTTAAAAAAATGAAAGAATATGAAAAAAAAAAACGAGCGATCTCTTTTTTTGTGGATTATTAGTGAGGAGTATTTTTTTTCTTTCACTTTGTGGTTTCAATTTTTGTATTTTTTTTTTGTTTTTCTTACCGCTCGTTTAACGTTGTTCTTCAGTGTACCTAAAACTCAATATGGCGGTGGCCTGCACCAGATATGATAATATACCACGTGGCTTCGACAAGATCTCGTGGTTTCTCGTTCACTAATTGTGGATATGTAACGTTTAACACTAATGTGTAAATATAATAACGGCTTTAACTATCACTTATATGTATGTATGTGTATGTATGTATATATATATATGCATACATCCATGTATATAAAATAAATGTGGCATTTATTAATTTGCACAAAAACGAAAAATAAAAATTGCTATACAAATATTCATTGTATTATTAAGTAAAATTATTAATTAATATAATTTTTTCTTCAATTTTTAGCTATTTTTTGGACATTGTAGCAATACAACAACAAACATGAATAAAAATTGAATCAGCTTTCTGACTTTCCAGCAAACGAACAGAAAATATTTTATAGCGTGGTTACTGGAAAGGAAGAAAAAAACAAATCAAGCAATTCGAAATTCATATTTTAATTTAGATTAATGAAAATAGTGAATTGTTTATTAAAAAGAAAGAAAAAGAACATTTGAAAAAAAATAATGTAGTTTTTATATTCCTTGTCTTCTGTACGTTTTCCGATAAATTAATCACGTGACCAAAACAAAAAGTATGTTTTTTTATGTTGAATCGTCTTTACGTGTATATGATGATGACACTAAAATTAATAAAATGTTATATATCATTCCGTTTTAATCTTGTTTTGTTTTTTTATTAAAAAAAAATAAAAAGGTGATTGTGAAGTTCTTTTTATTCTCACTTCCGACATTTTTATTTTATCCATGCGTTTGATTTTTTTTAAATATTTCTTTTATCTATCAAACAAAAAAAAACTCATAAAGACTTGATGCTAACAAATACAATATACGTAAAATAAAATCGCAGGAAAGTGAAGTTGCAATATTAGACATGGCAAATATGTAATAATTAACTGAAATAAATGTTTAAAGATGAATAAATGTGGGTGCTTGAGTGCATACCACACACAGAGACTTTGATTTTTGGTCAAGGAGTGGCTGCTTGGAAAGTAGTTGTTATTAACAACTGTTGTATAAGGACTATATTTGCTGTTGCTGTATCATGTTCATTTAATTTTTAGGTTATTTTTATGATTATTCGTAAAATATATCCTTTATTTAAGCATTAAAAAGAAGCTTTCATTCTATGATGTCACTAATACTTAGGTTAAAAAACGAAATAATGAGATCTTAAATTATTTAGTACAAAATGTAAAAAAAATGTCGAGAATCTTTTTCGGTTAAAAAATGGTTTAATTTCTGTATTGATTGATCGTTTACAATAAAAACTAAATCAGGAAATTTTCTCCAAATTTTGTCAATTATTATTAAATTACAATATTAATTCTAAATGATCAGACTTTCTTTCATCTATTATTTTTTTTTACCTCAATTTATACGAATTAAATGAAATTTTTGTTTCAGTTTTTAAAATAGTTTCTCTCTCTCTCTCTCTCTAATTGTTTTTTTAATTTTACATTTTTACTGAATCGTTATTTCACTTCAAGTGAACAATAAGACCTCAAATGTTTTCAAACAATCCATTTTTAATTAAATCAAGTGATCAAAATTAAAACATTACTGAAAGATTTCATTTAATGTTATTGCAAAAAAAAATAAAAGCTTAGTTATCGAGCTAAAAACTAACAAAGAACTCGAAATTGGTCAAAGATGGTTGATAACGATTTTTTTAAAATGATAACTTTTTAAAAGTATTTTTTTAAATAAGCCGTTTAAAACTGGGTAAATCTTGTTAAAAATTAATTAATTACATAAAATTAATCACAGGTTTGCCGTTTGAACAAATAGGAATTAGTTTATTTTTTTTAAAAATTATGATTTTTTTGTCGTTTTATGAATTTCCGCAATCAGTCTAAAAAACTTTTCATAAAAAAATACGTTATCACTGAAGAAGTGTAACTGATGAAAAAAAATGGCTTCTTTTTATTTTATATTTATTAAAAATATTTATTGTAAATTAATGCAACGACGAAAGGAAAAAGAAGTACTTTTGTTGTTTATTAAATATTTATTTTATTGTTTAAAGTAATATTTAAAAAATATTAAAATTTGTTACAAACAAAATATTCTTCGGCATCTGCAATAATTCATAAAATCAATTTTTTAAGTCATTTTAATTATATTTTTTTTCATGAAGAGAGTAACCGAAACATTTTTTTAAATATTTTTAATAGGTATTTTGTTTGAAGTTTTGAAATCATTTACCATCAAGTTCAAATGCTTCATTAGAAATTCTAAGAATTTTCAGGACAAAAAACAATTTTAAAAAATATCAGCAGTCACAAAATTTTATGAACAATAACATGAAATTCATTTAAAAACGTTTGTAATTTGGAATCTCTTTTTTAACATTTGCATGCAATTGTAAAAAAAAAAAAAAATTTTGAGAAAGAGAGAGAGGAAAAGAAACAATGTCAAATTTGTTATCCCAAGTATTATAGAATGGCTCAAATGAAAAAATACAAGACTCTTACTTCAATATGAAATTTGAAAGAAATTTACATTTTATTAAGTAACATGAAAAATAATAAGAATACAAAATTTACAAAAACAAGCTTGGACTAAATTTTACAAAAAAAGCTTGCACCAAAATTTACAAAACAAGCTTGTACCAAATTTTTCTTTGTGTGCCACACAATTAAGCAAGATAACAAGTTCTAATTACAACTCTGTTGGGCTCATAAAAATAATTATAATTATGAACAAAATGTTCACTTACTACAATCCATCGGATTGTCAAAAGGAGTTGAGAAGGTTGATGATTCACAGGCATCAATGGGTTTCTGGTTTATTTAGACTAGCATTTCTCAACCTTTTTACCCTTGCATAACCCTTAAATTAAATTACATGTCTCAAAGAACCCCTGTGCAAAAACAAAATTATATACCATATCTTTCTCATTTTACTTTCATCGTAGTTCACGTGGTAAATATCATAGTATATATTTTTGAATCATTGGTTTAAGGAAAAATAAATACTTCTTTGTCAAATTTTTCGGTAATGCTAAATAAAATAGTTGAACAACTAGTGCAATGGAATTGGTCAGAAGCTTGTGATTCTTCATCACTAGTCTTATGAGCTTGTGGTTCTTCTGACTAGTGAAGATGGTTTCACACTGGCCCCGTTTAGACATCACTAAATATATTCCCAATGATTGTTATATTTTTTAATAACATAAGAGGTTAGATAGGATGATGTCTGTATTACAAGATTACAATAACCAAGAAAATATTGTGTGTGTTTAGTAATATTGAAATTATATATGAAATTAAATAAAAAGTCAAAAGTGTATTAGCTTATCTAACCTGTTCTCGCAGAACCTTTGGGGGACCTTTTGTAGAACCTTAAAGTTCCAGTGAACCCCTGTTGAGAAATGCTGGTTCAGACAATAGTTCAGTTTTACAAACTGAGACCAGATAAATTATGTATTTTCATAAAAAGTTCAAAATCAGGGCTAATACTAATTTTATGACAAACTTTCATAAATAGCTCTAGAAAGATAATTGTATCTCTCTCTAAAATTGTAGAATTTTCTGCTTTTATTTCTTTTTCATTCTGCTTCTTTCTTTTCATCATTGTCAGCAGCTTTAGTTTTCAGATCCCAAAAGCTGTCCTCAGTCATTCATCAGTGAAAGCAAAAATCCTTTTGTTTTATTTACTTTCTCCTTCATCTAAGTTCAGCTACCAGTAACCAGCCAATACCAAACCTGTGAATGCTGAATCCCTTCTGTCTGTCCGACAAGCAAGACTTTTTAAATAGTCATGCATCGTCTCTGATTTGATTAAAAAATTTGAGATTTAGAGTCTAACTTATTTTTCACATTTTTAAAAAAATCACAAATGTATCCCTTTAAAATGTATCTATTTGCAAACTTTATTTAGGTGGGTTTTGAAATCATAAAACTTGAGACTCCTTTTTTACAAATTTTAAAACCAAATTTTATACATATATCTTTTTGAAACTGTCAGGCTTCATTTTGGTAGTATTTTTACATCAATTTTATAGAACGGAATTTCTAGTGTCATGGCCAAATAGTTTTGAATTCAGAATTGTCCTTCTCCTAGACTGGTTACCAACCACAGCTAAAGAACCCAGCCTGCCCTACTAATTTTTTATTTAAAGAATACATGTTAGTAATTTTCTTTTTTAATATTTTTTTTTAAATTGTATTTACTAAACATTTATCAGAAAGTTATTGTAAGAGGAAATTGGTGAGGAAAAAGATTATGTGACTATGATTTTGTTTGCTTTAAAAATCAGCGTTCACAATCATAGCCTTTACATGTGCTCGAACACCAACTCTGGTACCACTTGGAAATGTACAACTTAAAATCGTGTATGTATATATATATATATGTGCATGCATGCATATTTTAACTCAGTTACAGACCTAATAATATACAAAATTAAAAAATAAACTTTAAAAAAATAATTCTTTTCATTGGTGAATAATTTTGGAAAAAGTTCATTAAAATCTTACAATTATGTTGTTTTTTTTATTGTTTTGTTTTATTCCTTTTTTTTTCTTTCATCTCCAAATTCATGATTTTATTGCTCAGTTCAGGGTCAAGGTTGTTCAAACTGGGTGGAAGGGGAATATATAATTCTAATGTCTTATTTCAAACTTACTCAAATTGTGTGTGTATGTGTGATTGTGTATACTATAAATGGTACAAACAAATGTATAATATATATATACACAAGTGCAAAGAGACACACAGACATTGTGTGATGGGCATAGA